TCCCTTTTTGGATTGTAAAAAGTTTTTCTAGCAACTTTTTAAAAATTTTTAATTACATTTTTGGGTTTTAAATCATTCCTATTTCATAAATTTTGGTATTTCCTCATTGCCCTTTTTTAGATGTTTTTTAAATTTTTAAAGAGTAATATGAATTCAAATTTAAAATTTACAGAAAAACCCACCCAAAAAAAATTAAATGTTCTTTGTCCCCCTATTTTTTTCCCCTCAAAATAGAGTTAAACTGTCGTTTTTTATCAATGTTTTTTTAGAGCTTTACGAATTTGTAGTCCAGAGTTCATAGATGAGGAAATATCCAAAATTTATGAAATAGGTAATGATTTGAAATACCCAAGAAATGTAATTGATAAATCTTGGGTAGAATAGTTTGATGGTGGGTTGTGTGAAGAACCTGTCTAGTTCGGCCGGCGGGCCTGCTGTCTCGTGTCAGGTGTTGTGGGATCTGATAGTGAGGTGTGGGCTACCCCTTTATATACTCTCCTTTGATGCTTTACTTTCATTGTTCCTTGATAATGTGAGTAGTCACGAAAGCGCTTGGAATTTCTCTATTCTTTCACAGTTGTTGTTTTGCATATGTATGTATGTATGTATGTATGTATGTATGTATGTATGTATGTATATATATATATATTATATATATATATATATATATATATATATATATATATATAATATATATATATATATATATATATATATATATTTACATAAATCAAGGGACTTCAACCATTCCCAATAATTTACGTGCTGTATCGTACTTATGTGTGCCATGAAAGTTCTCTGTACACTCTCCAGGTCTGCAATGTCGCCAGCCTTGAAGAAGGCAGTTAGTGTACAGCAGTATTCCAGCCTAGAGAGAACAAGCGATTTGAAGAGAATCATCATTATCTTTCCTATAATTTTACTAGCAGATGAAGTTAGATGCATTGTTGATCACTACCAGGTCCTAAACACTAATTTTTCGCTCTGTTGTGTGGTTTTAATTTCATTTCTGAAATTAAGACACATGTGCAACATCTGGGTATCTCTATTGTAGACGTTTCACCATCCAGTGGCTTTATCAATACAAATTCAAGAACATAACAGTAGGACTATATACAGAAGATGAGGTAATCAGTCCCTCAACCTTGGAGTAGGTGAGAAGAGCACCGTAGTCGAGGAGATTCTGAAGCAGAAGCAAGGCGCCTGGCGCTTATATACTAACGTCAGGTGTAGCAGACGACGGCATAGTCACTGGTAGGCAGGATTCCCCAGTGGAAGTAGGTCCTTCCCAAAGAGATGGGTTAGTTGTAGTAGTAGTTGTCGTAGTCGTGAAGGTTATGTACATGTCCTCATCTTGTCAGTATTATATACCATTCTTGCACAACTTATCAGACACTGCAACATCATGGAATCTTGATTCTGAGGACATGTACATAACCTTCACGACTACGACAACTACTACTTAGCCCTTAGTCTAGTTAACGGCTCGCTGAACACTGAGTCGTACTGGGACTATAGTATCTCACTCATTTCTTTGCTGTCATTTGTGTAGGTTCTGTCTCGTCTAGGCAGTGGCCCAATACTGGATTTTGTTTTCCCCTTAGATTTGGTTTCTTCAGTTTCCTTTATGGCTTTTAGGCCTTCCTGAGAGTCTTGTCTTCTGAAAGATTCTTTAAGCTTATGTTCGATATTCACTATTTCTCAGACCAGTGCCTCCCTTCATATATCAAATATACCAGCCCCTCTCAGCAGCTCTGTAATTCTTTGCCTTCGCCTGTATAGAATGTATGGAATGTGCCTTGAGCAGACCTCAAGTGTCACAGAGTTAATTTTTTCTAGGCAAAGGTACGGAACCGTGTTGTTTTGGATATCTTCCCAGTTTTTTTTTCATTTAGAACATGATTGACTTGTTCCCATTGTAATGTTTTCGTTACTGAAGTTTAATTTTGTGAAGACACCCTCACAACTGATCACATTTTGCTGGTCAGGAGCCCTGTGCATACATATCTGTATCTCTGTTATGTTGTGATCTGAGTGTATTGTCTTTGATATGGTTATATTGAACATCAGATTGTCGTTGTTAGTGAAGATGAGGTCCAGCGTATTTTCTAGCCTTGTAGGCTCTATTGTTTGCTGGTTTAAGGTGAATTTGGTGCAGAGATTTAATAGCTGATGTGTGTGTGAATTTTCATCAGAACAGCCACCTGTGGTGATCTCTGCTAAAACATTATTTTGCTACACCCCTCCATTTTAGGTGTCTCAAGTTGAAATCCCCAAGTAGCAAGATGTTTGGGGGAGGATTTGGGAGATTTTCAGGACAGTGGTCAAAAGCTGTTCCTGGAATTGCTGGGAAGTTACATCTGCAGGTTTGTGTACAACCACAATGGATTTCGATCTTTAGTGCCAAAACTTCAACTACATCATTTGAGGTGTTTAGTAGCTCTGAGCAAACGAGAGACTCTGTGACGTACAGGCCAACAACCCTCCCTCCCCCTTGATG